ATGGAATTTGAGTATATTTTTATACTTGTAAAAATGAATCCTAAATCCAAAGTGACTCAGTAAATAAGCTATAATTTCCTGACAGAAAGAGTTGAGGAGGTGAAGAAAAGATATCAAAGGAACTAAACAGTAGAGAACCTTCTAGAGGAGCAAACACTGAGTGACTCAAAAATATCTTGGGAATTTTCGTTTACATTCTGATCAATCCCTATTTATGTTTCTTGGAGACAGATGATACATTTGACCACTTCATTTCTACATGGGGTGTAAAATAATAAGAGCAACCAGCCTGCTAAGAATTCCAAGCCAGATGGTGTATATGTGTGTCATGCTGAGCTGATGGTTTGGAAATGCCAGCCCTGCAGAATGGCTGGAGCTGAATAATACTTCAAGGTAATCCTGCTTAAGGCCCACTTGTACATCTCTGTACAATGTATACATTTTATCCAATTAGTATAGTGAATTTTAAGTTGTATTGGAAGGATGATATACACACAAGCAATAGAAAAACAGATGAAAGGTCACTAATGAGATTTGTTAACTGTCAGCTCAAATCAAACTCTGATAAAAATGACAGAAATCTACAGTGGTTTACAATATTGGCAAACTGCTTCTAAAGCAAATAACCAAAAGTCAGTCCATTCTCCAGGGAATAGTAGGCTGTTTCATAATTTTCAAAGATTTTCTTTTGATCATGTGAGTTAAAGACAAAGATTTCTTTTTCTTTGCAGTGCTGAGGATGAAACCCAGGGCCTCTTACAGAATAGGTAAGCACTCTACTCCTGAGCTCTGTCCTCAGCCTAATATCTGAAGTAAAGGAACAAGAATAAAACCTCCAAATTTCCCCTGTCTCCTTATATTCAGAAACTAGAAGATAGTTTTACGGCTTCTGCATTTCTTGACCTCCACCTTCTCACTTGGGGAAATCTGTAGCAATGCAGGTGAGGAGGCGCCTACTCTAGTCACAGGAAGGGGAACCAGCAGAGAGGCCAGAGAGTGAGAGGCAGCCACCGGGGTATGGCACTTTAAATAAGATGATGATGTGGTAGCCATAGAAAAGTGTAGACCCCATTCATATGTGCCGTTAACTATGCAAATTTGACAAAATGTTGTTTAGCCTATTATGTGTATATTTTTAGAAATTATTTTTCGTTTTTAAATTTTTTTCCATTTTATTTATTTATTTCTTACATTGATGACAATAGTGGAGTGCATTACATTCATACTTATCATACAGCACGACTTTTTGCAATTCTGTATATAAGGTATGTTCAAGCCAAATTATGCCATTATACTCATACATTATGCTCTCTTTTTTGCATACAATTCTTAATACACCTTATACCACCATTTATCATATCTCTGTTTGTATATAAGGTATGTTAACACCAAATTCACAACTTCATACATGTATTTTGTATAATGATGACCATCTCCTTCCACCATCCTAGCTATTCCCCTTCTCCCTCCCTTTCCTTCCCATCCCTATGCCCTATCTAGAGGTAATTTTAAAATATGAAATTGTTTTCCCCCTTCTTCATTTTAAAGTTCCCTTACATTGCTATTCCTTTTTAAAAAGTCTTTATAAAAGTATCTGCATCCCAAGAATCAGCAAATCATTCATTTATCCCCCCCAAAATTTTATTAAGTAATTTAGTTTCATGTTAAATTGGTTTCTTTTTCCTCTCTTTTGAAAGTCTGTTATTTAGGTATAAATATAATTAAGATCATTTTACCTTTTTGATGATGTGAACTTTTTATCTATAAAATGTACCCCCTTTTTTGTAATTCAGGTCAATATCCTCTATTTAAAATACTTGGGATCAGGGCTAGGGTTGTGGCTCAGTGGTGGAGTGCTTGCCTAGCATGTGTGAGGCACTTGGTTTGATCCTCAGCACCATATAAAAAAAAACTAAATAAAAAATAAAGGTTTTGTGTCCATCTGTAACTAAAAATATTTTTAAAAATACTTGGGATCAGAAATGTTTGATTTTGGGATATTTGCACATACACAGTGGGATGGATATCCTGGGGATGGGATCAAAGTCTAAACACAAAATTCATATATGTTTACATACATATTATACAATAGTCTGAAGATAATTTGTACACCATTTTTAATAATTGGTACACAAAACACAGTTTATATTGCTGCTTAAGGGGCTTAGAGGATCGTTTTTCCCCTTGGGTATATGGAATAAACTGTATTATGCACCTGCACTTTTACTGACCCATTTCAAGGTCTATTTCTATTTGTGGCATCCTGTTTGGCACTCAAAATGTTTTGCATTTTGGAGCATTTTAGATTAGAGATATTCAACCTATATAATTAATCGTCACAAAATCAGCATCTAAAAAAATTGATTCATGTATTTAGAATAGAGGTCTGGTTGTTTACAATGGAAAAGGAAGTTTGGTATCAGATACTATATCCTGGGGTTTTGAAGTGAAAAGTAGTAGCAAATTCACTTGTGTTTGGAAAGTATCCCAATAATTGTAACTAGAACTATTTTTCTTGCACTTATCCACCACTAAGTTTCCCAGGATGCATTAAAAAAAATAATTGTTCTCCAAATATTTTTCTTTATGAGTACCAAGCCAAGATTCTCTTTCTTTTGCCTATAAACAAAAACCCTGCGGAATTTATACATACACTACAGTGTCTTGGCCTTTGAGCTCACCAAATCCTGCTGTGATTAGCCAATCTTTAAATCTAGGGGGAACTTAGGAAAGGAATGAAGAGACTAGCAAATTATATTCTAAAAGTATGGAAGCCATATTTTAACTTTTATTTTTAATTAATTTGGACTTATTCTACACTACAAATTTTTTTGAGTAATACAAAAAACTTTCAGTATGTCCAGTAATCAACTTCAAGAAATAAAACACTCTCTATGTAGCCCTTGTGTCCTTCTCCCACTGTCATCTTCCTTCCAGAGGCACCTGAATTCAGTGTTACCAATTTCCATATTTTACTAATCTACCTATTTTAATTCATGTACCTGCATCCTCATATTTATCTTTGTATTTTTTGAAATTTATTTTGATCATGTCAAAATACACCATTCTTTTCTTTTTTTTTTAGTTTCATGGTTTGCTGTCAAAATTAAAAATTGATATGTAATTAGAATTTCATTGTATGGATTCAGTACCCTATGTTTATCCAACTTTTTTGAAGTAATGACTGCTGAAATTGTCAGTAGGTGTGATTAGTGCATATGTGTGTACTCCAGGGAATGTCTTCATTGTTAAGTTACTAGGAACATATGCTCGTTAAGAAACTAAATATTGTCAGCCCCAACCGAGGTGGTTGTCCAGATTTTCATTCCCACTATAAGCTTTCTGGTTGCTCTACATCTTTATAAAACTTGGTATTGTCAGAATTATATTGTAAATCATTATACTGGTGAGAATTGCCATTGGCATTTCTGTGGTTGTCACACAGGGCACCTTAATGTTTACTGGCCAAATTAGCATGAAGTTATTATTCCCAGGCATGAGCACCCCAATGTCTCACACTCTAGTAGGACTGACAGATTCAAATGATTAAAGTCTTCAAAATAATATAGACAAATGTCCTAAGTAGGAAATTATTCCCTTAGTCATTTAAGTTACTTCTGATTATCAAAACATGTAGCTTGCCCGTGCGTCTCCTGTGTCATTCTCAGTTGTGACAGCCTTAGCTTCTCTTAATCCAGTCTGGCTGTAGAAAGAATGACAATAAACCTTAAGTCACTGATGCTTAGGATGAGGCTAAGTCATAAGGAAACACAGAGCACCCCTCTAACTAAGATGGACTGAGATCAGCAGGATTTGGGGAGCCCCAGAAAGCCTACATCAACCACACGGGGGTTCCTGTGCTGAGCAAAGGGACGGACCTTGATGCTCTTTAGGACCTTTTTTTGGCCTGTATGCTGTGCCTAAGTGAGGAATCACCCGCAAAGCTTTCACAGACTTTCCACTGCCTGTGTGGGAAAAAAAAAATGTTTTATGTACTTATTGTTTTCTGAAGAGGTGATGAGTAAAATTGTTTTACAAATTATTTCTAATAGAAGCAGCCAGAAAAATTTCCCTGAATCTACCGTTGGTGCTCAGTAGATAAGGTTTTGACCCCAGGGAGCACACGTGCTGTCCCTTCTATAGTCTGAATTGTCATTTGCTTTCCTGTGTGACAGTATGTTGCCTGACTCACTCAGCTCTGGATCACCAGTGCCTTTATCCCATTCCATGTCACTGGTGTGCAGTATTGCAGGGTGCTCTGCCTGAGATGGCACAAGTGAGAACCCAGCTGATGGCACTGATTCAATTTGCTATTGATACTGAGAGCTCTTCTGGGAAAACGTGTTGGGTATCTCTGTTTATATTACTTTGGAAATATTTTATTTCACACATACTGAAAAACCAGAGGAGGAGGTCAGTTAGTTCAAGTTTGCTGACAGAAAATTGATCTATATCAGAGTCTGGATGATTGTGCTCAGTTGATTTCTTTATGACTTCAAGACAAGATTTCTACCACTTCCTTTGTTGGGAGAATGTCTAAATTAAGAGATTAAAGCCGAAAGCTTCTTCACGTTTAGACTGAGTTATCTTGTTTATCATTCACACTCCCCTTGTCCTTGTGTTTCCACTTCTTGGATGTTCGCCGAACCTCTCTGGTCAGTATAATTAGAGGCTCCAGGATCACAGAAGTGGAGTGTGCTGATGGATGCTGCTTTCTGTTGGGCCTCCTTGGATATGTGTGTGCTTGTGTGTGTTGCACTTGTGTGTGTTGCACTTGTGCTGAGGTGAGTGCAAATGGAAGTAGTGTTTATAAGATAACTCTTCTCACCTATAATGGCAAGTTGTAAATATCCTGTTTCCTATTCCTAGGTCCAGCTCTTCAGTGGGGCCTTTGATCTGCTTTGACCCTGGGCTGTGTTGCAGAAGTGCAGCTCACATTCTGTTCCACTGCTTGGTGTCTCTGTGCTTGTTGATGAGTTCCCATGCTTGTCTCCCTACAGGTTATCCAGGCCGTCTTTTTCGGGATCTGCGTGCTGACTGATCTTTCTAGTCTTCTGACGAGAGGAAGTGGGAACCAAGAGCAAGAGAGGCAGCTCAAGAAGCTCATCTCTCTGCGGGACTGGATGCTGGCTGTGTTGGCCTTTCCCGTTGGGGTTGTGAGTATGATGTAGAATGCATTTAGCCACCAAAAAAAAGCATGGATCTTATTTCAGATTTTTAAGATAGAAAAAAATACACATTATAGGAGATTGATTTCTTCCTTCCTTTCTATCTCTTAGTGCTGAGGATTGAAGCTAGAGTCTTGTGCATGCTAAGCATACGTACTAACACTGGGCTGCAACACCAGCCCCGAGGTTTAGGTTTAGATTTAGATTAGTTCACTGGGCTGCCAGTACCCCAGACTGGAGGGCTTAACCAGCAGAAGCTTATTGTCTCACACTTCTGGAGTCTGGAGGTCCAAGATCAAGATTAATTGGCAGGGTTGGTTTCTTGGAGGCCTCTCTCTTTGACTTCCAGATAATCACCATCTCACTGTGTCTTATATCTCCTTCCCCATGTGCTGGTCTGTACTCTAATTTCTTTTTTTTTTTTATAAGAAGAGCATTCATATTGCGTCAGGATGCCCCTCCTGGCCTCATTTAACCTCAGTTCCCTCTTTAAAGGCCCAAGTGTTATCACCTCCAGAGGTTCTGGGGGGTTAGGACTTCAACATGAGACTTTTGGGGGGTCACAGTTTAATCCATAATGGTGTCTTAAACAGCCCCAAACTTGAAATGTATTAATTTGATTAGATACTTGAGGTTTTTTTTTTTTGTATTGTTTTGCGTTTTAGTTTTAGAGAGAAATCAGCAGTAGTTCACCCTTGTTAACTTATTCAAGTTGTCAACTGTGCCATTAGTTAACATCACTTAAGAAATGCCACTGAATGTTTGGATCCATTCCAGCTTCACTGACTTTCTTTGTTTCCAGTTAGATTCTCCCCATAACTCAACTTCCTTTCCTACATTTGCCCATAAACCTTGTTTCTTCAAAGTCTCCACAAGACTATAGATTTGAACTTGTGTATAGCCAGGAGAAGAATGAGAGAATTCTATATCTCAAGTTGTGAGGACAGGTCCAAGTGTTTTACCTAGTTCAAATTCAGACCTCTTGCTTGCCATCTTTTACCTGGAGGAGCAGAAGCACCACTGATGTAGGCACCAAGAGCACCAAGTCCAAGGCTCGTTGTCAGAAAGTTATGCCCAGATCCTTCCTGTGGCTCTTCCTCATAGTGGCCAGAGGCCCCATGTGTGTGACAGTTCTTTTTCTGTGTGCTGAGTTGCATCTTCTTGGGTAAGATAGCCCTTAGTTCCGGAGAACTGCACAAGGGCAAGGGGGGCTTCACAGCCAGTCCCTGACCCCTCGTTCCTCCAGGCTTGTCTTCTGAAGGCCACTGGGCCAGTGCCCAGATCCAAGCCATCTAGCAGATCTCTCAGGTTCTGTCCTTTACATAACAGATCTAAATGCTTTACTCTATCATTTGACTTTGTATTATTTCATATTCCTTCTTTGAACTTGCCTTCTAAAATTCAAATTCCTTGCATCAGAATAGCCATATAGAAGAAAATTTTCTCTAGCATGAAGTGTAAAGACGTACACTTTCTGCATAAAAGAATTATCTAGATATTCAAGTCTGTGTGTCCATATAGTTGGTGTGTGTGTGTTTCTTTTTTTTAAACTTTATAATTCTATAGGAGTATCATTGCCTCTGGAAGTCTTCATTGGGTAAATAGAATACAATAGTAATACAATAAAAGTAGGAGCACAGATAAGGGCATGTTTTCTCTTAGCTCCACGTCTCCTGTTAACTGATGTCAGAGTGTTTCCACAGGAGCATTCTGACTTAAGGTGTAAATTTTACCTGCTTCTCAAAGGCTCATTGCCTATGCTTTTTGGATGGTTGTGACATTCTTTGGTGGGAAATTTTTTGCACCTTTTTGCACTTGCGACTTGAGGTATTCATCAACTTTGAGCGTTCTTCCTAAATTCCGTGTGGGTGTGTTTCACAGGTGTGAGTTTGTGAGCCTTTTGATTTGCTTCTGTGTTTATTACATCTGATATTTTCCTCTGTGATTCACTGTTTTTGTTGATTTGTCCATATTTTGGAAGAAGGAGAGGAGTAGCACTTCTCTTCATCTCCACGCCCTTGTTAACCAGAAGTCACAGCATCGCATTGTCACAGCACAGTGTTCAACTTTCCTGGTGACAAGTTCCCGAGCAGCGGGCCAGCGTCGGCCTCACACCTGGTACCTCCATCCTGTGCCACCCTGCACACAGGAGGTGATCAATGTTCTGCAGTCATAGAAGAGAGTAAAGTGGTAGTGATGAATCACAGATATGCAACTTGCTGATTTCTTCCACTCATTTTTTCCTTGGCCACTGGTATCTTATAGTCACTATTTCCATTTTTCATAATCTTTCTTATTATTATAGTCTGTTTTTTTAACTTCCTTTAGTTTCTGTTACTTTTCTTTGTTCTCCTTTCTTTCCTTCCTCCCTTTCCCACTCTTCTTCAATTAAGAACAATCTTGGCCAGTATTCTCTTGAAATCTTATGTTTTCTACCATTTATACCTTACTGTGTCATTCGGCTTTGTATCTCTTTACCCAGTTTCTTCCACATTTCTAACTCTAATGCACAGAAATTCATCTTGAGGCAAAAATTTTAAAAAATCTTGATAAATGGATTCTTTCAAGATACATTAATTTTATTGTGAAGTCATGCATTTTCTCAGAAGGGTCTAAAATACTATTGTAGTTTTATTCTTTTTTGTGTGTGTTTGTGGTCCTGGGGATCAAACCCAGGGTCTCACATGTGCTAGGCAAGTGTCCCTACCACTGAGCTACACCCCCAGCCCATTTAAAATTTTTATTTTCTTATAGGGTCTCAATAAGTTGTCACTGTACTTGGCATTGCATTAGAGTTTAAATTCGATTTTCTATATGTTTCCTAAGGAAATAGAAATTCATAGATTCCTCATTACTAGTAAAAACAATTTTTAGATGATTCTAGAAGAGGTTGGCACATATTAAATCTTCACTGACTCTTCAAGATACGATTAGAATGTCAGAAATAGCGACTTAATAAATAACTTTAAGACTAAACTCAGATAATAAAGACAGATTCCTGAAACATTCATTCAGGCACATACTGCCTTGCTCTGCGACTGTGTACTCTAATCCCAGGACAGGACAGGCACAACCTTCAGGGTCCCCTCAAACCAACCCAGCAAAAGATATCTGCACCTTCACAGGGGCAGGGCAGCATCTGGGCTACAGCAGCCACCCCAAGGCGTTACCAAGACAAAGATGTACTGGCGAGGTAGTGAAATTTGATTGTGTGCATTTTTCAAGCAGAATAACAAATGAATCCAGTGCCTAGAGTTGAATTTATGGAAAATGTACAATTGTTCTTCATTAAGAGGGCTGCATTGGATTGCCACTGGGGACACATTTAGGGTTTTGGGAGAAGGACACTTTCATACTCATCTTACTCTTTGTTTGTTTGTTTGTTTTTTTGGTTAAAAGTATAAGCTTCTCTCTTTAACTAGAGTGGTATCTTGCCAGCACAAAAGTCAACAAACACACAGAAGACAAAAGACATTCTTGGTTTGATTGTTCCTAATAAACTTCAGTGCTTCCAGACCACATAATGTCATAGAATTATTTGTAATGCTTCTTTAAAAGGGTGACAGGGTTCAGAAATAAACTGCACATGGTAAGAAGAGCCTCCCGTGGGTTATCCCTGTGAAATGAATTGCAAGGCTTTGGGAGTGGTGGTGATTTCCGGCCATTAGCATTACTAATCAAGGCCAGCTTTGCATTTGTGGGAATCGACACAAATCAAGATGATACATGCTCTGTTCACTCAAGCAAAGCTGCCTGATTTCTTCAAGGTCACACTGAAACAAACCTTTACTCCAAACAAACCTTTACTCTTTGATTGGAATGTTTCATTATTTTTATATATCCTTGAGGTAAGAGAGAGCTTGAAGTAGATGCATTAGGTCCACGGGTCACCAAATCATATTTAGTGCTCCATGCTCACAGAAAGCAATTACTGTCAACTCTCAATTAACCTTGTTCCTGGAGGATGCATTAGTGCAGAAATTACAAATCCTGCATAACCCACCCTGTCTTCCTTGATGCCTTCGTTGCAGCTGTGAAATGTATGTGCACATGTGTGCATGTGAGAGAAAGAGGGAGAGTGGGAGCACCAGGAAAAGCTTGGGCCAAACAGTCTCTCATGCCTGTACTATGAAGCAAAGATAACACTGCTTCCTCGGGAACAAACTGACAAGAAGTGTGAGGCAGAGGAAACCTGTTACAGCAAGGAGCACTGGGTGTGGTCAGCCAGGCACCTTGCAGCCAGAGCAGCAGAGCAGAAAAGCCCTTAGGACACAAGGGTTTCCAAACACAGAGTGGATACTTTCTACCTTAGGTTGCTGGAGCTAGGACCTGTGCTCCCCTCATGCTTCAAAGGTGCTTAGATGTTTTGCTCTCTGGAATTCTGTTTGCATCAACCAAAATGATGAAAGGTGTTTACTTCACATGTTATTATGAATCATGTGCACATATGGTAAGAATTCTTAATGCTACAAATTCCTGCGGGTATTATAACTGTGCCCATCAGGTACTGGCCACAAATGCTGTTTCCATCCTTCTGCAGTTGTGAGCCCCATTGGCTGGGCATCTCCCTTCAGGGCCGGGAACCACAGGAAGAGTAAAGTGCTTCTTCAGGTGACTCCTTGTGGCTTTGTTCCAGGAAGCGTTCATATTTAATAAGGAAGAAAGTTCTTGTTTTATTATTACCACTTAAGTTGGTTGGGCACATGCCTGTAATACAAGTAACTCAGGAGCCTGAGGCAGGACGATCACAAGTTTAAGGTTAGCTGGGCAATTTAACAAGACCCTGTCTCAAAATAAAAATAAAAAAGGACTGGGGATGTAGTTCAGTGACATAGTGCCTGTGGGTTCAGGCCCCAGTACTGGGAGGGGACAGGGGAAGAAATAAAGGGAAAAACTATTACAATAAAATAAAACAAATCTCTCATGCAAACTCCACGAAAAAGTATATTGCAATTATTTTCAAAAGTAATTCCTCACCAGGTGTGCTG